AATGAGTAGATTGTAATGTCTGCAAACTCTAATAGGAACCCAATTGGTGAAGAGGCTCAACTGTTGGCTAGATTTCTAGGCATGCTTGCCCTAATGGAATAAAATTACCTATTCATTATGAAACATGGCATAAAGTTCCAGCAGAAGTTAAGGTCGATGCTTTAAACTTTATTGAGGTATTAATAAAATTAATTACATATAAAAATATAATTATTTTACATTTTGTTTACTAATTCAAACTTTTTTTATTGTATTATTACAATCAAAATTTGTACTTAAATTACCAACTTTATTTGTGCTTAAGTCATTGGGAAAGAAATGGAAAGACTATAAGCATAATTTGAAGAATAAGTATTTCAATCAAAATACTACTATAGAGGGACAATGAAAAATCTACCATGTAATGTGATTAGGTGGCAATATGAATAATTAGTTAGATTTTACTTCTCAAGAAAATGAGATGTACTAATTTATAACTTTGATAGTAGAATGAAATAATGAAAGTGTTTTATGCTTTAAGTTGGTAACATTTGTATTTTTACCATATACGCAATTATTTTTTATGACAAGAGAGAGAACAGGTTGGGATTGGTAGCAGAAAGCAATAGAAATATAGCCACATAAGTAGATCAAAAAGTTTTGCAAGAAAACAAAAAAAAAATAGTAAGTTTATGATTTTAAACTTATTCCAATGAATGAACTTTTTATACTGTTAAAAGATAAATATACAAATTAACAATTATTATTCTATTTTAATAGTTTTGATAGTTTCAATACATGATATTAAACTTATTGAAAGTATTAAACTTAGTTGCCATGGTTGATATGTATAAAAAAGTTATTGTTTATGTCTATTTAGGTAAAAATACAAATTTGCTGTTATTATTCTATTTTAACAGTTTAGATAGCTTCAATACTTGATATTAAACTTATTCGATTAATTGAACTTTGTCTCTACGGTTGATATGTGTGAAAAAGTTATCGTTTATGTCTATTTGGGACTATTTTTGCCTTTAAAAGGTAAAAATACAAATTAAACTTTTGGTTGGCTTTGAATAGTTTGGATGGCTTCAATCCATGATATTAAACTTGTCCAAATAATTGAATTTGGTTTTCATGACCGATATGTGTGAAAGGTCAAAATACTTTTATTGTTTGCATCTGTTTAAAACTATTATGTTGTTAAGAGGCCAAAATATAATTTTACGGTTATATTTATATTTTAACAATTTAGATAGATTAAATACATGATATTAAAATTATTCAAAATTTTTGAACTTGATTGACAGGCTTGATATATATGAATAAGTTACAATTGATATGTATTTAACAATAGCATATGTTTTAGTATAGGAGATTGAGATGGGTAGTCAAATTGGATGTGTGAAACTTTTTCGCCTAACACACTTAAAAAAAGATGGATATTACATGAGTGTCGAAACACAAGAAATTATGTTAATTTGGAACATCTATTTTAACAGAAAGTAAATATTTACTCTTTTTAACATATTATCAATTAATCATTAAACTTGATAGTTGCATATGACTAATTTACAAGAGAAATCATAAGAGAAAATGACTGTTGAGATTGAAGTAACATCTGATGGTTCTGTCAACATGCAAGAATTGAAAATTTGGATATTCATAGAAGTTGCTGGAAAAGAAAGGCATGGATGGGTCTAAGACATTAGATTGTGTCCAACACCATCTACCTACTATGGATATAGCTCTTAGCAATTTACATTCTCAGCAAGTCAGTATTTGTGAGATATTTCGATATTAAGAAAGGAGTGGCAAACTATGCAATAACGTTTTCAACAAATAAAAGCAAAAAGAGAACAAGAGCATGCCAAAATTGAAGAAGAATTTGCTATAATGGAGTAAGAGTGTGCAAAATTTTCAGCAGTTGCATGATCGATTTAATCATCTTATAAATTTTGTGCAACAATAATTTTCAGGAACTAATCTCAGTAGTCCATCAACTCAGGTATTATATTTAGTAAATATTTATATTTTTAAATATAAAAAAAGCTTACTATGAAATGTTAAAAATTGTATGGTATTATTTAGTAGATTTTTGAGCACGTTAGTGATCAAGGTGAAAAAATTTCTTTATTAATTGGCAGTCTTCCAAATCTATGCAGTCATCAATTTCATACATTTTAATTTTTTTGTTAATGTATTAAAAAAATTCGAATGTTATTATACTAATTATTAAACTTTATATTAATTAGATGCATATTTAAACGTAAATTATGTATTTATTAATTTCAGTTTTTGAATTTAAGTTCGTTTTTATTTCTTTTAGCATTTCTTGTTAATGAAAATAATAAATATTAACAAAAATTCTTTATTAAAAAAATTAAATTTCTTAATTTCATGGTGTTCACATTCAAGAATGTCGCTAAATGAATAATTTAGTAGCGTTTGTACTATAAAATACCACTTAAAGTAGCGTCATTCTTTAAAAAAATGTCGTTAAATTAGAGGCTTTTTGATACAAACGCCGCTAATTTAGTGGCGTCTTATCATATAAACGTCACCATATTAGGGATATTTTTTTGATAAAAATGTTACTAAATTAACGACGTTTTATAGAAAACATAGCTATTTTTGCTGATGCGTATATAGCCGATACTTTGACTGACATTTTTTGCAAACGCCACAAATCTTTTAATGGTGTTTATAAAACGCCGCTAAATGTTGAAAAAAACGCCACTAAAAACCTAAACCCCTATAGTGAATTAAAAGCCTTCTAAGTTGATTCTGCATTAAGACCATTGACCATGCAAGATTGAATTGATTCGATTGATTCCCAATTTTGGTTTCCCTATTCACTCGAGAATTAGGAAAAAAAAGAAGGAAATAATAATAATAATAATAATAATAATAATAATAATAATAATAATAATATGATAACAATATAATATACTATGAGAAATATAATATAATAATAATAAAAATATAATAATATGATAATAATACAATGTACAAATATAATAATATAGTATAGTATACTAGTAATAATAATAATAATAATAATAATAATAATAATAATCACTGGTTAACCTTGAACACAGATGGGTGTCTATAGTCATAATATCAAACCCCTATTAATTAATATAAAAAAATGGTAAAAAATTATATTTTATTAAATTCTATTCCATACTGTTTTTTCAATGGTTTCAAAATTCAAATTTAATCCAAATCATAACCTACTATTATTTGTGTCCCAAATTCAATGAGAATGCAGAATTTCACTTTTTTTCACTTCATTTAAAGGGGCTTTAATTTTTTATTTTATTGGATTAATACTAAATGCATTTGTTTTTTGAAGAAAAAAAGGAAGTAAAAAAAAAAAAGCAAAAACGGTTATATTCTTTTCAGAAGGCAATTCCATTTCTAGTCATTTGATTTTGTTTTTTGAGGTTAGAGTTCAAGTACTAAGTTTGTTAAAATTCTTTTTTTAAGCTAATTTTATTTTTATGTTAACAATAATAATAAAAGTAATAGTTTTTATGATATTTATTATTAATATGAAATTTTAATATTTATTAATAATAAAAATAAAATTTATATTTTCTATTTTAAAAAAATATTTTTGAGATTGTATTTTAAATGATGATTTTTTTATATAATTATAATGTTATTCTCAAGAAAATTTGACATATTTTGAATATAATAAGTAAAAATATATATTAAATTATATAAGAAAATACAAATACTTTTAAATTTATATTACACTTGTAAATGTAATTGTATCAGTAATAATTAATTTTCATAATTAACAAAATATATTAATATTAATATTAATATTAATATACTCTATTAAAACATACAAACATATATATTATTTAAATAAATAATTATGATTTAATATATTTAATTTAAAATTATTTCTAAATAATAATTAAATCAATAAGTCAATAATTATTAGGTCATGTTTGCTTTGTGGTGATCACTTAAAAAATCATAGTGATCTACACATGGTAATTAGATAATCATATTTGGTAAATGCTTAGTGATCTTACATGCTAGTAATTTTGGATAACTGAGAGTAATCAGATTATTATTTTTAGAGTGATCTAATTTTCATCCAAAAAAGTGAAAAATTTTTATTATTGAGATGAAATAATATGTAAAATTAATAATAGTCAATATTACCCATTTAATATGTGAATTAAAATTTTGATTCTTCTTAAAATTGTAATTATTTATATTATAAAAATTAATTATTTTATATTATAAATTGTTATATTTTCAAACTAATATTTATTATAATAAGTTCAAAAATGATTTGTGTAGTTTTTAATTTTTTCTGATGTTTAATATAATGTTTTTGTTTTTTATTATGATTTTAATAGATTGGCTTTATTTTTAATTCAAAAATTTTTATATAATTTATATTATAAAATTAGTTTACTTAATAACTAAATAAATAAATTTAATAATTTAATTATATTGATTATAAAATAAATAAAATGTTGCTATATTTTGTGAATTATTATCTTTAAAAAATATTTAAATCATTAACTTTTTATATTATTACAATAAAGACGATTATTTTTATACTTTTAAATAAAATAATATTTGAATTAGCAATATCAAACACAACAATCTTTAAATCTATGCATTAATGACTGTTAATTAAATAAATGATTTCAAATCATAAATGATAAGATTATTTGATAATGTAATCACATTCATGATAATATTATCATGATAATCCCAAAATTATACCAAATACTATTTAAGCACTTTTAATACTGCTTACCCCAAAAATTATAAATAACTAATAAAAAACTACACGTGGCAGAAGCGTATGATTTTGGGAAGACAAATGACATGAATTTTTGGATCTGGTTCCAAATAATATTCTTTTATCTTTAAAAATCCTCTTTTTGTTTTTTTCCCCCTTTTTTCAGACAATAATCTTTTTGTTTATAATTATGACAATTGATAGGGTAGTGATTAGATTATAAATTTTTTTAATGTTTATGTATCTTTTAATATGACAACTGATATAACTCCCCATTTAATGTTGATAAAAGAGGAAACGAATCTTTGTGGCTAAAATTGTCCAATGACAGAATTCTTGAAAGGATGGATGGCAAAAGTTTAGAGGAAAAGGGCAGCTCACTGCACAGTTGGCTGAATGAGAGAATTCCATGTGGAAGAAAGAAAACCCAACTACCTGAAAGATAGTGTGAGATCAAGGGAAGGAAGATCAGCTGCTGACTTTCTGCCGTTGCTTAGGCCAAAATTGAATCCATACAAATTTCTTGTGTATGAAGCTTTGACCAATAAGATTTTTCTTTATTTAATCTTATTTAATTGTGGTTATATTATAATTATCTTGTTTGATTTTAGTTATTTGATACAAAAAATATGAATCATTTATGTTTAAATAGCTTTTGCTTTTTGCATACAATCAACTTGGTTCAAAGGAAAAAGAAGGGGTTTGGCAATTTCAGACCAACTTAGTACAAACCTCTGCTAAAGCATTACAGAGAGTATATTAGATGGGGGGTTAGGTGTTTTAATGATGTTAATGGATTCTCAAGATGCTTGGCCTTTAAAACAAATGTGATACACCTCTCCTAATCACTCGCATAGACATTGGAAGCCCAGTGATCGATCAGGAGATGACTTCCCCTGAACGATTGTCATTTTGTGCAGGAACTCTTGGTAAAATACCTTTTACTAGCAAGTTTAGTGTCACGGTCCACACTAACTTACGAGATATTATTCGTTCTGATCCGCTGATCTCACAATTTTATCCCACAAAAAACGTCTCATAAATTAAAAGAAGTATAAACCTTTATATTCCAAAATCAACTTTAGTATATAGCTGATGTGGAATTCATGACTTGACTATTGAATATCTAACTGGATCCACGGTGATTGCCATTCAATTTCGAAAATGGAAGGCAAAACCATCTAACCCTAGGATTAATTTCAAAACACAATCCAGCACAATTTTCGATGCATAAATTGAACCTTCAAATTTTCATAATAAATATTTATCATCACCGCTCAATATATCTGAGATGCAATATATACAGCATGAATGGACCGATGACCTGCCACAGAAGATTGGAAGTGCAACTTATTATGGATTCACTTTCAATCACTCCAAGCATATGTTTTTTTTCAATCTATTTTGATCCACCTGTCCTTAGGTGCACAAACAAAATATTATTGTAGCCCCTGGAAATCCTGATCTTGTCATCACTATATCTGCAAATGCATATTTAGTAAATATAAGCTCGCAACTAGACTTCCAACCAATTACCATGCTATAAATTATAGTAGCAGATTTTAATTGAGACATCTTACAGAAGCTCCAGATTGATCTTGGTTTCCATCTCTAAAGGGTACCCAAATGGACCACCAATAAGGGCCGCATCATCCATGGTAATGTCGTATGTCTTTGGGCCAGATTTCCTGCATGAGCCAATATGTGAGATCAAGTTTCAGACTAATTGATGAAACAGTAGTTCATTTCACTGAATGGGAAAATTTGAGCTAATAACTTACCCCCACTTAAAGAAACAAACCATTTTTAACACCTTTTGCATCTTTCTGAGTCCAAGAAGTTTTGCAATGTTGTTATGTACTTATATTTTTTTATAAAGAAAGATGGGTTGAATGCTAAAATAGGGAAAAGAATTAAGAAACTGCTGTCTACATTGAAGACTTTTCTAAAGCAATGTCAATTCAAAATTTGAGAGGATGAGGAGAAGAAAACATGAGCTAAATATTGGCAGGTAATATCTATGTGTTGCAGCATATATCTAATATGGTTAACATTGATAATGGTTACCATTCTCATCCTCTTCAAACATAACTGATGTCTGTATATATAAGAGAGCCCATCTTCTTCAGTAGGATTTTAGAAATGGTGCTTTAGAATCTACACTGGTTACAGTCACAGACTCATGGCTATACTTTTTCTTAAATTTGATTTATTTCTGCATTTGGGTTAGCAAAGCTTCTGAAGCTTGCTCTCATATTGAATGAATACGCTAAATAAGCCCATAAGCTGGAATGTCTTTTGTATGTTTTAGGCATTGTCCAAATCCACATTAAGATCTCTATCATATTAGATGCTTATATTCCATGAACTTTACTTGACAACTTTCACTAGTATCACACTATAAATTTTTTACTAGATCCTATATCACACAATGCTATTTTGCAACAAGTATACCTCAGAAATATAGTCATAACCTACTTACAGTTACAACTGTGCCCTATGGGTCCTAGAAGACGTCAGTTTTCATCAATTTATCTTTGGCTAATCTGGTGAAGTTGAATAAAGTAAACGTAATATGAAATTGTGGATTTAAGCTTAGCGTTTACCCATTCAATACTAAAGCAAAGTGATAGACTTACACAAACTTGCCAATCATGGAGAATCTGATCCCAGGTAAGATGTTGACTACAAACTTCATTTGACGATTCTTGACAATCTAAAGTAGTTGCAATAAAGGAGTGAGAACTGAATTAGTCTAATGAGACAATTCCAAGGAAAAGAACTACAAACAGTCAAGGAGTCATTGCAAATCCAAAGTTATTGGCAAGTTTTATATGTCACTTGCCTGACTGCCCATAAGACCATTGCCAGCATTTTCTAGCCAACTATCTGTCTCTATCTGCAACAAGTGAGCTAAATGAGAACTGAGAGGAATTATCCAAAGAAAGAACATGACGACCTTGGTCAAGTTTAGATGAAGCAGGCATGCAATGCTTGGAGTGAACATATGAGGCAAGGGAACATGATATCTAGCTGGAAATCCTCAGTTTATCCTCAACTGGTGCTACCTCTATATATTTTTTCTTTTAAAAAAGAAAAGTATATTTTATTCTAGTTTTGGTTCAGTTAATTCTTTAAAAGGAAAGAAAAAAAAACCTACTATCTCTTTTGTCTCTTTTAATGAATTTATGAACTTAGATGCCATTGGTATTTTAAATGCACCTGCGAGCTCCATATCATCTGCCATTCTCCCTCTAAGAGTACTGGTTCATCGTTAGTCACACTCTTGCTTAAGGAGATAAACTCATCAATTGCCTGCAAAGGTTATGGCATGCAACAATTAGTGCGGGAAGAGACACCAGCTACAAAATAATACATGCTCTGTCCAACATTATGTGCGAATCTTAAAATTTGTTATTTACTTCTCTTACTCCCGTTCCAGTGGAAATGGCTGCTAGCAACTTTTGCCTATGATCAGTGTTCTTTTGAAGCACAAATGTAGTGCCCTGCACTAAAAAGACATCTCTTGACTTAGCAAAAAATTTATCCATAACATACTTAAATAGAACAGATTCTTCACCTTATTTCCTCTTGAGATACGGAGATTCCCAGAATGAGACAGATATGTAGTGTCTAACCAGCCCTTTGCTTCATCTCCCAGAAGTCTAAATGGGACTGGATATGGAACCTTAAATGGTAAAAATTTAAATGTAAAGGCTGCTCTGTCAAACTGGAAAAGGATTCTTTGTCCATCATTGATTGATGCTGCTGCCTGTGAAAAAAAATAAAAAAATCTATGGAGAAAAGCTGACCTATGCATGAATGAACTATCTTAATGTCTGCAATATGGCAAACAAGAACATGAGAAATATAGATGGTAAGATACATCCTCTTTCAAGGAGAAAATTTTCTTAAAATGTTTAAAAAGAAAGTACTCAAAATTGTTTTTTCTTTTGACAAAACATAATTCAGAATATCTCCTGGAAGAGGCATGTAGTTACCACTGGATGCTTCCAGTATACGTACGTATATTAAACATTTTTTGAACCAGGTTAATTTGTTTCTCTATCATTTTAGCTATTTTGAGGACACAGGATTATGTTAAAAGTGTCAGGGAAGCTAGTAAGGAGTCTCATTCACCTTAGAATATAACAAAATTTGACTTAGAGGGTGATATGTCCGTAGATATAAGCATCTAAGTTTATATGCACTGCGCCCTATTCAAGAACCCATATCACACATCTAAGCATGATAATTCTAATGGCAGACTCCTGGTTGTTTAAGAATGCTATATCAGCAGGAATATGCCTCTTAAATTAAAACAAGTAATGAATTGATAACTAAACAGATGTTAAACCTTTATTCTGATATTTCTCAGCACCATTTGTGCGAGTTATGTGGAATATTGATGGATAACAACTTGTTTCCCAAAAGAATATATCTAAATTATCTGCCTTTTCTCAGGCCAAAAGTTAGTTTCACGAGAAAAATCTCACTAAGCACAAAATAAATAAACTAATACAGAAAGCAATGTGTGCAATTTCACAACTTGAGCAAGCTGGGGTACCAACAGCTACTTTTACTCTCCAACACATAGATAATTCACAAAATGAGCAACTGTGATCACTAGAGATAATGAAATCATACCTCTACTTTTAGTTCACCTATCAAGTCAGAAAATTTTACGATATTGGAAACACGTGGATCATTTGTCCGAAGATAAACCTCTTGAAATATGCTAAAAAAGTTGACCCCAACAAATGTTCTCTACAACCAATAAAAAGGATGAAAGAGTCATTGAAAAGGAAAGATGAAAAACTAATGTAAGACAGACTCACCTAATGTGCCCTATATCATCCTCACTTACACTACATTGATTAACCTTGAAGTAATTGTTCAAAATTCTTCACTCTTCAAAATTTCATTTCAGATTGCTACTGTTTTCTTAGACAACATGTTCTCGTGTGATTATCTTCTCTAAATCAAGGCCAAAGTGCTTTAGACTATGAGAACATCTAAAAACAGTAAGTCGTACAATTTTGGCCAGCATAACCAGGCCTAATGTTTAAAGGCCATTTCTGCCTTTGGTAAGTAGGCCGGGTTGTTATTTAAAAAGGTTTTGTATCCAAGCATTTTCCCACTAAAGATCTTGCAAGTTCATAAGAATTCTATGGTTCATTAGTCTAACACAAAAGGAAATTATTTCTAGAGAAAACAATTTAAAGTGGATGAGTTATTAGTGGAGGGGCATAAAACAGAGAGCTCAATTATAACCTGAATTGGAGATGCTGTGCCAGGCCTAGTCGTAAACATCAATTGCCACCGACCTTCAATTAGATCAGAGCTTGTCTACAGGTATTCACAAGATAATGTTACCATATTGAGTACTAAAATATCGTATGAGAGAATTGAAAAAATAAGAAGAAATCCCATCTCTCTGTCTTCATCCTGAAACAAAGTAAAAAAAAAAAAAAGAAAAAAAATCTAAACATTATCCCAGCAAATCCTACATTAAAAAGCGTCGATTTTAATTCCCACTTGAAACCCAAAACTTTACATCCAAGGGGTGAATATTGAGAAATGCAAATGACTTTTAGCAATTCCAAAAGAAAGATATAGGATTAAACAAGTTAACCAAAACTAACGGGATCTGGCACGCCTTCTTGGCCTTCTAGAACTTGAACAGCACGCTCCACATCCTTCGAAAATCAAAATCAAAATCAAAATCAAAGTCAACTATATATACATATATATTACTCTTAAAATTCAAAGTAATAGAGAAATTAAAGAGTAAAGTGCTAAAAACTGTGTTGTTGATGTTATTGTACATTGAGTTGTTGAGGAGAAGCTGATCGTCCTCGACCTTGGATCCCAATAAGTGCGTCGATGAGCTGCTTTTCTTGCTCTGTAAAGGAAGCTTGTTGCTCTTCTTGTTGCTGTTGTTCATTCACCAGGGAACAGCGGCAAATGCGGAGAGTTTTGCGGATTGGAGGGGTTGCAGAGGGTTTGAAGTTGAAGAGCTTTGGTGGAGGGTTCAAAGCAAGGTTTCTCTGCAGGTTCATCGGAGGCCATATGTTCAGATTTTTTGTCGCTCCCACTTTCAAAGCCATGACAAATGTGTAAGTGCCTCAGTCTTCTTATTCTTGACTCAGCACTGAGCACGAAGCTTCCTTTTGAGAGGTTGAGGTTGGGTTTTAGAGATACCGTGACACGTGGCTTATCTCTTATCTGCCCCGTGGAAAAAGTTATTGCCTCCCGTCGCTTTTAATGGGTAACTGCAATATCAAGTGTTTCTGGATCATTTGGCGATTGCAAGGTTCAGTGGTGCTAAGCATATGAACCACCGGCGAGCAATATAGATATTGGGTCGCACGATAATTTTTAAATTATGTCATGGTATGACACTATACGACAATAAAAATATATATTTTTATATTAAAATTAAAATTTTATTGTTTAATTTTTTAATGTTGCATTTATATTTTAACAATTTAATCTTGCTCCCATTCGTGTCATTCTCCACTCCTTTGATTAAAAATCAAAGTAAATGAGACACATGTCCTTAGTTTTCTTTATTCTTTTTCTTCTCTTAATTTTTACCATTCTTCTTTCTTCCTTCTTTTTTATTTCTCTCATCCCTACCCAGTTATTGGCATGTCATCATACTTCTGTCATCGGCTGCCATTCTTTGGCATCAGAATTTTTCAAAAAAAGCATCAGAAAACTCCTCTCAACCTCTTTTTTTCTTCCTATCAAGTTAAAAATTTCAAAAAACAACTAAAAAAATCTAAATTTACAAAATAAACCCGCTGCCTCCATTTTTTTACCATTTTCGCTACTTAACCCGTGTCTAGACATGTTTTGATCGTGTCGAACCGAGTCTAATTTTTTTTTTTTTTATCGTGTCCTGTATTTATTTTAGCGTGTCGCCCGTGTGTCCGTGTCGGACATTAATACGTGAAGGTGGAAGCTTTGTCCGTGTCTCCTGGGTGCTAATTAAGACACTAGTACAGCTTGATTCACAATGTCATACGACCACCTATTCGATTGTTCTTGCTCTTCACAAAGTTTAGCATTGCTTTTTAAAGAAATTGAAATTTGTAAAAATTTTCATTATTTTTTGAAATTTGTGTTGTATTGCAAATTCTAATATGATAGCACTGGAGAGAAGATTCTAGAAGGGACTGTAAACACAATTTTATATTTTATTATTATTATTATTTTTCGTTTTTCTTTTTTTTTTTCTTTTCTTTTTCAAGTTAGTTTGATAAAAATATGAGTACATTAAATACATTCTTCTCAAAGTCTAAAATCACAATCACGGTCAGTTATCGACAGGAGCGTGACATCCTGTCTAACTTGATAGCGTAGATTTCGGCTACCAAATTTTAACAGTTCAATTGAAAAGCTGAGATTTAAATCGCAAAAAACTCTATAAATAAAACTTATTTTTTTTGTAAGATGGGATATAAAAAAAAATCTTAGAACCCTGAAAAAAAGAAGTTCGTCAAATTCAAAAAAAAAAAAATCTAAAGCAAGCCAAACACAAAAACAATAGTTTATGGAAACGAGAACCACAGCGCTAAACAAAAAAAACATAAACAAAAATTTTTTTTTTCGATCGAACCTTTCAGGCTAGATCTGCACTGTTTAAAGCCCCTTTTCACAAAAACAGGCTTAGATCTGGACTTCGGAGATTGAGAGGAACATTTTGATTTTTTTGAGATTTTTTGATCACCGACGACTGGCGATCGACGGCGGCAATGGCAGTGACGACGACTGGTCGACCTTTTTGGGTTTTGTCTGAAAAGGAAGATGTGAGGTTTTTTTTTTTTTTTTTGAGATAGGAGAGAATGACAAAAAAAATTTGGGTCTTTTATATAAACTATCAAAACCAAAACGACGTCGTTTCAATAAAGATCAAAACAACGTCGTTTTAGCTCCTGAGGATCCGCGCGTCAACCAGAGGTCTGTGTATCGGACCCATGACCAGCTTCTCCTTCTGCTTTTAACCGATTCGCCCTCACTAATTCAAACCGAATCGGACCATCCCTGAACTACTGACATCGAACCAACCTAACCAGACCAAACTGTATGTTGATCGAACCGTTGATCGGTCCGGTTTAGTTTTTTTTTAATTTTTTTATATATTATTTTTGTTATTTTAATTTTTATTATTAACATTTATGCATGTTAAAATATTCAAATTTACTAGGATAAATTTTGTTGTTTATAATAATAATTAATAAAAATAAATGATGAAATATATAATAAAATTTTTTTAATAATTTTGTTAAATTTTGAAATAAACCTTATAAAATAATAAAAATAATAAAAACGTAAGAAAATAAAATTTTTATTCGATGATGAGATTTAAAAGTACTCCGAGTAGTGATATCTATGAAATCTCTAAGTGAAAAGTTTTTTTTAAATATTACCAGTGTATTGGAGTATTTATATAAAATTTTAATACCATAAAAATTCTCTTTTTTACTAATAAATTAAAAAAATAATAATATAAATAAAAAAAAGAAATTTTATCCGATAATGGGATTCTAAAAGTATTTCGAGTAATGATACTTTATGAAATCCCTAGGGAGAAGTTTTTTTTTATATTACTAGTGTATTGAAATATTTATAGAAAAACTTCAATATATTAAAAATTCCTTTTTTTCTTCAAAAACATTATATAAAAAATCAAATAAAACAATTAATAAAATTTCTAAAAAGGAGAATAAAATATGTGCATCAATATAGTAGCATTTTGCATTGTATGCACGGCATAGTTTTTTTATGAAAAGTAAATTTAAGCCTTAAATGATGAGATTTTACGGTATTTCGAGAAGTGATGCCTAAAAAATCTTTAGGTGAGAAAAAATTCTTCTAATGTTACCAATGTACTGAAACATTTTAAGAATTATTTCAATAAAAAAATTTTGATTTATTTTTCTTGAATAAATAATGAAACAATAAATAATAATATATATAAGAAAAAACTAATAAATGACCAATCAAGGAAATTATTTTTCGAATACTGAAAATAAGACTGTTTTTATCAAAATTAACAGATAACACGTAATTAATTGGTACCGTTTAAACGGGCGTTGTGGGGGTGCTAATCCTTCCCCACACGTAACCGACTCTCGAACTCAGACTATTTCGTAGATTATAAAATTATTCTTTTAATAAATTTTAATTAATTTTAAGATTTCATTAAAATGATATATTTTAATAGATGACCAATCACACCTAGCCAAAAAAGATTGGTGGCGACTCTATATTTTTTTATTCATTTTCAAATTCGTCGGGCAGACACAAAACCGTTACGATAGCTTGGCGACTCCAATAGGGATGCCTTTTGTTTTCGAAAGTTAGGCCTAAATTAACTATGTATTATCTTCAATTTTGATTTAAATAGTCCTAATTGGTTTCGTAGATTTTTATTTTTCACTTTCAACAAAAAAAGTAAAAAAAAAACAAATCGAAAACAAAAAGAAAAAATTCACACATGTTTCTTTTACTATGCCTCTTATGCTTTATTTTTCTATATATATTACTCTCAATAAATTAGAATATACTTGCACACACAATGACATAAGGTATCTTATGCATGAGCTTTATACCCAGGCTACGTCCCTTATAGAAAGAAGTATGTACATATGCCTTCGTGAGGTGATAACTTTCACAATGGTAAGTGGAATACTTCCACTCAAATTGAATCATTTTCATTCATAGCCTATAATGGGCGAGGATCGGTGTGCCTTACTAGTTCGGCGTGGACGATAGTGAAGAACAATTTGAAAACCTTTAGACATATGTCAATCTAAACCCAATATGTAATAAGCCTAAGAAACTAACCTTACATAGAGCTTTATCCACCTTCTTATAGGAAATACCTAAAAATAAAAGTTGTGTGTAATACAAAACAAAACAAAAAAAAATCTCAAAACTCAAAAAAATATTTTTTTTCAAACCGCATCCTCATACTAACTCAATTTTGTTTCGTGTTCTTTTTCTTTTTTACATTAATCATAGCATACAGTTCTACATCGAGATATTTATTCTAGGATATATTTCTCCTAATAAGTCTTCATAGATCCTATAAAACTACAAATTTGCTCATCCTCAGTCAGTATCTAATGTGAGCCGTATAATGAAATACATATTTGGTTAAAAGAAGCCAAACAAAAGAGTGAAGATATCTTGCTTACCGATTATGTGTCTGAGTTACTCGAGAAAATACATTTGGATCTCATATAGAATGATTTAGAAGACTTAGCCATCATCTGGGGTCAATTAAATGAAAAAAAAAAAAGAAAACTTTTAAAAGATGTAAGGGCAGATTGCATCCCTCATTTCAGTAGTGATTGATGAACAGTTGATCAGGGCAGCTATATAGTTTTGGGATCATCCTATAGATGTTTCACTCTTAATTAAAAAGATTTGATGCCAACTATTGAAGAGTATTCAATTTTGCTTAAGATAAAATTACAGTGTTCGGATAAAGTATTTACCCGAAAGTCAAAATCAAGTTATCATAAAAAGTTGGCCAAGCTTATGGGGGTAAAAGTAGAAACCATAGATTCTTTTATAAAGCCTAAAAGTGAACATCTCAGTATCCGTTGGGATTTTCTTTAAGATTTTATTCATGAGCATTTAAATGATCATCAAGGCATGGCTGTGTTTGCTCTATCATTGTATGGCATAACAATTTTTTCAAAGACTTTGGATTACATCGAGATAACTATGGTGAACTTTTTTGAGCAAATTAAAACTCAAACAATTAATCTTACACCAGCAATCTTAGCAGAAATCATTCAGTCATTGAATTTTTATTGATGAAATAGAAAGGGATGGTTCATAAGATATGCATCGTTATTATATGTGTAGGTCAGAAGTCATTTCAAATGTGGGAATGGTGCTTTCTCAAAGTGGTATCTTCAAAATAAGGCACCAATCAAAGAGTTTTACAGAAGTCAATGGCCGACATTGAAGACCAAGAAAGAGTGGGTTTTATTCTTAAAAAAGCTTAACATGGATGAAATTGAATGGATGATGCCTTGGATGCCTTGGATGCCTTGGGTGTTCCTGTTATATCGTAGAGGAAACAAGCCATATATACCATTGTTAGGGTTATAAGGTGTTGTGAGTTACGCTTTGTTGATGGTGCTTTGGCAATTTGGTGCAAAGAAGTTTGTTCCTATCACTCATGGCTTGGTTCAGGTAGAATTCATTTATGAGAAATCGAATCCACTAAGAACCTCGGAGTAGTTGATTCAAGCATGGAAAAAAATATGAAGAATGAGATTAGGACCTCTCATCGACAA